AGGAAAATACCATAAGACTTTTGCTGGTGACAACTTTTTCTTATACTGAGATACACTGCATTTAGGACACTCGTTTAATGATGCATAATCATTTCGAAACAAAATGCAATCATTTGGACAAGCATGTATCTTATCATAGCTCATGCCAATAGAGCATAACATTTTTTTAGGTTCATAAGTTCGATTGGGAAGAGCATTATCCTTCGGAAGCATCTCTTTCATAAGGGCTAATAACTCCGTGAAACTTTTATCCGACCATCCATTACCCGCCTTTAAGCTGTACAAATTTAATACCGCAAACAATCTCGTGAAAGTAGTGCAACCTTTATACAATGATTTCTCTGCATCGCTTACCAACCTCTCAAACATCTTGGGACAATCCTGAAGATCTTCTTCAAGTGCTTCTACAATCTCTTCGACTCGATCACAATCATATGTATCCCTGTCATTTCCATTTGAAGCATATGTCGTATTATCCCCCGGTTCAACATTCTCGTTACTTATCTCACCATGTAATATCCAACATGTATAACTTCGATCAATTCCATGTCTCATTAAATGAGATTCCAACTAAACTGCGTCAATCTGACGCCCATAACAGCAACCTAAGCAAGGACATGTGATCCTACTAGGGTCTTTGGCGTGTTCAACAATAAACTTAACGAATTTTGATACCATATTCTCGTACTCTTTTGACAATCGATTGGAAGACATCCATATTTTATCCATACTAATTAAGTAGGCTAAACTAAACTAAGAAAGCTAAACAAAAACAGCGAATACCTGTAGCACCTGTAGAGAAATCACCAACTTCTAGAACTACACGGTAGGATTCTTGGAAACAATCACAATCTTCACAAGTAACCCCTATAACAAATTAACATACAAAATTAATTCATGTTATCATCAACAACATCAACATCAACATTAACAACATCAACAACAACATTTGGAATCACATTTAACAACGTCAAAAAATGATATATTTGGTATGAAGCAACTAAACTAAGTAAGCTAAACAAAAACAACGAATACCTGTAGCACTTGTAGAGAAATCACCAACTTCTAGATACACAGTAAAATTCTTGGAAACGATCACAATCTTCACAAGTAACCCATATAACAAATTAAAATACAAAATTAATTCCTGTATTCATCAACAACATCAACATCAACATTAACAACATCAACATTGACAACATCAACAACATCAACAACAACATTTGAATAACAACCAAAGATGAGCATTTCAATAACAACAAATACAACAACAAGATTCATGAGAATTTAAATAAAGAGTATTCTATATTCTTTTTAATGTCTCAACCAATCTATTGAAGATAAGCACAACCTCTTCATGCTTATATACAAATCCTTGTGATTTTTTAAAAGCAACATAAACAAGTCTTCCAAATCTCTAGTAATGTTATCCATGAGACCAATATTTTGTAAATAAAGAACATCTCAAACTCATCTCTAGTAATGTTACTAGTACTAGCTTACGACATAGATATATTTAAGTGTCATAAGAAGAACTATTTTTCACAATATTTTGTCACAACAAATAAGCAAAAAAACGTATACAATATTTTTTACAACAAATAAAGCAAAAGAACTATTTTTCACAATATTTTGTCACAACAATATTTTATCACAACATTTCCATAATATTTCAACCTGAAAAACTTATACAGTTTGAATACCTTAATATGATATAGTTATACAACATTTCCACAACATTTCCACAATATTACAATCCATAACCATGCAAATGAAGAAAATAACTAAAATACCTTGAAAATGGTGGAATGGTCAGACAAATGGAGTACTGTGGCCGGCGGAAAGGAAGAAGACGAAGGACGGAGGGAGGGAGGATGACAATCGACGGTGCAAAAACAGTTTATTGGTCGCGAGAGGTTTATCAGAAATGGAAGGGTTTTTTGTGAGAGGGAAAGAAAGCTTGAACGTTAAATGTGTATACTGTTTCTGACTTGTAAGTGGTTCGTTTTATTAAATTTATAAAAATAACACTTATAGCAGCGCTTTTGAAAAGCGCTACTGAAACCCCCACATATAGCAGCGCTTTTGAAAAGCGCTACTGAAACCCCCACATATAGCAGCACTTTCATATAATAAGCGCTCTCTAAGGTCTGTCTTATGTAGGGCCTATAACAGCGCTTTCGTATACCCCCCTTTAGCAGTGCTTTTTCAAAGCACTTTCGTATACCCCCCATTTAGCAGCGCTTTTTCAATGCGCTTTCATATGCCCCCCTTTAGCAACACTTTTTCAAAGCGCTTTCGTATACCCCCTTCTCTAGCAGCGCTTTCAAAAAAGCACTTTCTTTAAAAAGCACTTTCTAAAGTCAGCGAATTTTTCCCTTTTTTTTTCCAACTCTTTGGCAGCGCTTTTACTCAAAGCGCCATCTTTTCTGCACTGCCAAAAATCATTTTTGGCATAGTGAGACTCAAGCGTCCCTTGAAGCTCTTCCTTCGTCAATACTGGCAAGTCTTTCGACTCTTCTATGATTACTACCAAGTGGTCGAACTTTGGAGCCAACGACCTTAAGATCTTTGCAACAACTAATCTTGATGTCAACACTTATCCACATACCTTGATTTGATTCACCAGCTTCATAACTCTAGTGAAGAAATCTGGTATACTTTCATTTTCTTCCCTCTGAAGCAATTCATACATTCTCTTGTGAGTTTGTAACCTCACATCTTTCACCCTTTATGCGCCTCCAAATGACATTTCAAGAATCTCTCACGCTTCCTTCGCTGATTCTACATCACTAACCTTTTCAAAATTATTTGGATCTACACATTGATGGATTATAAAGAGAGTTTTATAATTTTTCTTCTTTGATTCTTTGAATGCAACATTTTCTTGATCCGTTGTGTTTTTTACGAGCAGTGCTACTCCTCCCTTCACAAGATCGCAAATATCTTGATAACAGAAAACCACCTTAATCTGCTTGCACTAATTCTCATAATTATCTTTCCTGAGAATTGGAAGATTTGTTGGAAAGTACCCGTTTAGATGATTCATCGCCATCACGATTTTCCTTCCTTGAATCGTAATCGCAAATTCAACCACAACCTATGGAGAATTTCACTTAATCAATCTTGATCTCAAGATTGTTCTCACTCACGTAATGACAATGAAAGAAAAGTTTAGAACGAGAGAAAGAAAATAAGCGTTGGAGAAGAAGAAGACGAATAATTTTTCTGCAGAGAACTCTCTGCTCACAAACCGTAGAAATTCTGTTATTTCACTTGCAACTGCAAACTGTGAATTACAAAATATGATGAGTTCATATACAAAATAAGAGTTTCTCCCTATTTATAGATTTAAATTTGCTTGCACCCCAAGACAAAACGCAAAACCATAAAAGCCCAAAATAACTAACATTACTAAAATTGGCCTAAGTCGAAATCTTGTGTGAAGCAGCCTGCTTCGACACTTCGACACACTAACACATTTAGCTAATTTGACGAATCCTTGTTTCTGTCGAGCTACAATGCTTCAACACAAGGAATTATAAACTCAACAGTGTAATCATTCTGTGATGAAAATGTATTACTTTCTAATAATATTTGGTGTACTATTTTATTAAATTTGTAAGGTTCCTAAATATTTAGAAGAAGTTGCAGATTTTTAAGACAAATTTAAACTCCAATTGAGTAGTTTTTGAATTAGACATTTAAATGCATCTTTTGAAAGTTGTGTAGTTTTTGAATTAATAGATTTTTGAGAAAAAGTTAAATTTCAATATGATAACTTTTATTTTATTTCAATATTTTTATTTTAAAAAATAAGTAATTTAAAATGTCAAGTATATATAAAAAATAGACTTTAAAAAATGGTTTTTAAATCCGTGAAGTACAGTATGTGAGCTAAATCAATTCTTAACTAGACGAGACAAATTGGGGGAGTTAGACTCGACTCGACTCATTTTCAACCCTATTCATAAAAAAATTTTAAAACTTATTTTCATACATTTTTCAAGATAATTAAGTTTTTATTTTTTTATTTTAATTTAAAATATAAATATAATATAATAATAATAAAATTATTCATATATTTTTTTTAAATAGACCTACCTAATAGGCTTAAAAGATTTTTTTTATGACCTCTTATTTAAAATTTTTAACTAAACAGGCTTATAAAAATGTTTAAAATTTTCTATTTAAAAAAAATCTAAGATTTTTCTATTTAAAAAAAAATCGGACCTAACCTAAACATGTCTAAACTAGATCGTATGCCCCTGTATTATTGACCAAACTTATTTTTATTCTAATACAAGAGTCATACATTTTTAAATATTCAAAATATAATATAAGAAAAAGATATTAAAATTATCCAAAAAAATCTAAATTGTTAAAGTAAAATTTATAAAACATCTGATGCAATTTTATCTATATATTTTTTAGGGTGGAGCAATATTATATCAAACCTCTTTAATTTATCAAAATAATATCTATATCATAAACAATATCTGATTCGTTAAATTAACACAAAATTCATATTTTTAAATTTAGGATTATGGTTTTATTATATTATAGTTAACAATGGCGTAATCATGATAATGTGTAGTAACATATTTTTAATAATATAGCAGTATCATCCAATAATTGTGTACATATATTTTTAATAAAAAATTTAATAATTACAATTGGTTAAAAATTTTAAATAATTTAAAAAATAAAATTAAAAATTATAAAAGAAAAGAAAATTATTAACAATATCCGAAACTTTAAATTTAATTCAGCTTTTGATTGGTGTGAAAATGAATTTGAGTGGGTGTATAGGAAACATGACCCGTGAAAACAAAACCGAAATCGAAAACTATATTGGGCCAAATCAACGCAAAAACCCTAATCAGGTAAACCCACCTTTTCTACTGCACCACGAGCTCCGACTATAATAAAACCCTAAAACGCCCATTTTTGGGAGTGTTGAGATTTGGCCGAATTCTGCTTCAGCTGCTGCCGTGAAGATGGTGAAGGGACGTCAAGGCGAGCGTGTTAGGTACTTTCTTCATTTCATGCCATATGTTATCGCTTTTCTCTCTCTGATTTGCGTTTTTATGTACTCGTAGATTTTGGCCTGATACGGTAGTTTAATCTTTTTTTCTGCTATTTGTTTTGTTTGTTGCTTTTATATAGTGTTCGTCTATGTTTTCGAAGTTCAATGTTCTGGTTTAGTGATTATGATTATGATCGATTTAATTAGGTTATAGCTACTGTTTTAACCGTGAGAACTGAGAAATTTGGTGCTATCTGATTTGGAGAAATTAGGGGACAGTTTAGAGGGATTTGAATGATTTTATATTTAGTTTATAGGCAATAAGCTTAATCTGTTGGTGAGAATAAACATGGAAACTATTTTGTTGCACGAGAAATATTTTGAGTTGGTCTTCTGAAATCTCAAATGACAGTAAAATTAACTTTTTTAAGGTAATGTCCAATGCTTATTTGACAGATATTTGAGACTGGTACCAAATTGAAAATACGCTATTCTTGTGACCTTTTAGGCTTCTAGGTTTTTTTTTGTTCTTTTCTCAAATATCAGTTTGTGGATTTACTCTAGTTTTTGTATCTGTTTTATCAAATATCACTGAATTTTAACTTTATTTCTTCATATAATAAGCTAATACTAAACTATCCTTTTCAATTTCTGTTAGGCTCTATGTGAGGGGTACCATCCTTGGATACAAAAGGTATATTCTTTATCATTCTATCTTTTTTAATTAATTGTGTTGCCCATTTTTCACTATGTATATTTGTTTTGGTATTTTAAAATGTTGTATTAGATGGTTTGGTTTAGTACTTACTCTTTTATGTTGTTTTTCTAGATCCAAATCAAACCAGTACCCAAACACATCTCTGGTCCAAATTGAAGGAGTGAACACCAAGGAGGAGGTAGCATGGTATGCTGGTAAGCGGTTGGCATATATCTACAAGGCCAAGGTGAAGAAGAATGGAACTCATTATCGCTGCCTATGGGGAAAGGTTACAAGGCCACATGGTAATAGTGGTATTGTCCGTGCCAAATTCACATCAAATCTTCCTCCCAAATCAATGGTAATAATTTACCAATATGATTTTTTGTAATTATTTATTGTGTTTTGTAATGTTGTCTTGACTTTGAGTTTGAATTCATTTCAGGGATCGAGGATAAGAGTATTTATGTATCCCAGTAACATCTGAGGTAAACCCGAGTCTTTGGATTCTTTTTGAATTGTTTGCTATTTTTTTCCAATATCTCCTTGAAACATTTCTGAACCCCTTCCTGTGTTCTTATTCATTTTGGTAGTCGATAGGGCACATCTTTGAATCTTGTAATGTGTTTTATGGAAGTTCATGTTTTTCTTATATGGATTAATCAATATTCTTATGCATTAATCAAACTTTCTAGTATAATAACAAGGTCTGAAAACAGTGAATCTGTCTTTCATGTAGTCATAATTTCTTGGTGTGATAATTTAATTTAGTGCTGCACTGTCTTACCACGTGGTTCGTATACTCAAAAGTTATGCTGTCTTAGTACATGCTCTCAAATAGAAGAACTGTATGGTTCTAAATCATGGTAAATGTAATATGCATATCTGATCTGAAAATTAGGCAATTTTATGGTTGAATAATCTTCTGTGACTTTTAAGAGAATTTGAAACTATGTCTATGATAACTGTTAAGTTCTATTCTTAAATGTTTGTGATAGTGTTTTTAGTTTTGAAAATTTCAATGCAAGCCTCTTCTATGGTCCAGATTCAGGGAGTTTGGAGTTGTTTACAATGCCCTAATGTTAAATTGATTTTTTTTTTTGCAGATGCAGGAGACATGGCCAGTAGAATTGTGTGGTGGTTTCTAGCTTCAGGGAATTTTGTTTGATTTTAACTTTTGAGGATTTTTTTTTTTGGTTTAGACATTTATATGAAGAAATGGTGTCATCTGCTGTAATCGCTGTTGTCCCTGAAATATTAAGTTCAATACTATGCATGTGTACTTTCTTATATCTAATTATTACAATGTTTGTTAGTATCTCTGATGGTTACAATTACAATGTTTTTCTTGCATTTTATTCATCAACTTTAGTTAATGAAATTAATATATGTATCCGTTCCATACAAGTTTTTAAGATTTTTATTAAACAGACCTTAAGATACAAATTTGAAATTACAGAAATATATACTTAGTAGAACTGTGGTCAGCCTAGTGCTGGAGTTGGTTACCATAGCTGGAGGTTCTTAAATATGTTCTTTTGATTCTTTTTAGCATGTTTCGGTCAAGTAAATCTGTTGGTGGTATAATCCCCTATCAAAGATTTTACATTTGTTGATCCTAAAACTTTATTTTTTTGTCATGCTCCATATTATCATAAACATAAATTCATCATTAATATGATTTCAAAATCTAAAATTTAAAAATATGAAGCCAGAACTATTAATTTCTTCAATTCAAATAATGAAGAAACAAAATTAGATACTTAAACTTATATTTAGAATATGTTACTATAAACTAGTAAAATTCATCACCTAACTACGGTTTGATTTGCTTCGACTAACTCTACTCTCGAAAGGTTTTTTTAGTTCATCATAGTAAAAAAGTTCTTCATAAAATACATCCTGCACACATCCTTCATATTTTGTTTCTAAACCAAGATACCAAATCTTTTATAATCCTTTATATCATTTTTCAAAACCAAGATATCAAAACTTTTGTTTTCATTCTCTTAGTAAGTCTATATATACAATTTTCTTTATTTTCTTTTTGATTTTTAAAATTGATATAATCTGTCAAAAATTTGAGTTTAATTCACCGTCTTTTTAGTCTCATTCTTAACGTTTTATATTTTTTTTTAAGTTTTACCATTTTTACACCTAAATTATTTTTTAAAATAATATTTTTTAAGTCAAATTTTATTCTGAACACTTTTATTTCACTGTCACAATTTTTTATCCAAAATTCAAAATCTCTTGAATCTCCAACATTTTTTTAGTTACTTTTATAATATCTTGCCTATCTTGCTTCATATATCACTTGCACTTTTTGTAGTTGCAAATGACATGCTAAACAAAATTGTTCAAAAAATTATAAAACACAAAAAAAGACAGTTGAGAGAATCAAAAGATTTTAAATCTAAGAATAAAGAATCGAATAAAAGCTAGAGTAGAATATCTTATAATTAAACAAATAATGTTTGAATCTAATCAACTCCAAGAACATATAGCTGGCATGGATTCTAACTAGTTTCAATATATCTCTTTCAAATAACAAATTCTTCAATTTATCTTTGTTATGCTGACCCTATCTTATGACACTAGATTCCACCAATAGGGTACAAAATTCATTTGTTGCGCCAATAAGTGATACATATCATGATTATTGCCATTTATTTATTGACTAAAAGTGTCATCTATAAAAACAATGTAGAATCATTTTGAACCATTTGAAACATGACTTGACGAAGCCCCATTTTATTTTTTCATCTCCCACTAGTTTGAGAAGTTTGATTTTCAATTGGAGATGCATTAACCATATTTTGACTTGAGCTATGTCACATTATAATCTTTTAGAATAGAATTTTCTCTGTATCAACTTTATTCACTTAAAAGATAGAGTTTGAATGGTTAGAATATGCATAATCTTGATCAAGAATGATGTATATAATGCATGTCGGTATTAATAAGATTTGAGCCAATCACTTCATAATCAACTTATACAAAATTTGCACAATCTTACTGCTAGATTGATGCAACAAGTATTAGTTTATTCTATATTTTCATTGATTGCATATAGACTTTGGTTGAGTGGCCACCAAGTGACGCAATTATCTCATTTTTCTAACTGTACAACAAATTTAGACTTTTTCAGTTGAATTCAATTGTGACCAAATCAAATTTCATAAATTCTTGTGGTATGCGTTAACTGAAAATGCAGTCAGGCAATGTATTTGTTTAAATCAAATATGTTTTGATTTTTCTTTTAGTTTATTTTCTTTCTTTCCTCAAAACTCCGCTAAATATCTATTTCTAAATTTAAATTTTTATTATAGTTGTTTTGGATAGGATTGACAATTGAATCCATTAAGATAGAATCCATCTAATCTATTTTAAAAAAATTCATTCAATCCATTCACTACATAAAAAGTAAGTTAATTGATTGAATTAAATCCACAATGTATAAATTAATTAAATTCATCCAACATATTTTAAAGATTCAATGAATTATTTTTATCTCCGTTAAATTTATTTTTTAAAAAATAATTTAAAATGATTTTTTTAAAAAAATAGAATTGGTTTTCTTTTCCAAAAAAAACTAATTTTTTTTGAAAATTAAAATATCGATTTTTAGAAAATACAAAAAGTCAAATTTTTCCAAAACAAAACTGATTTTTTTTCAAAAAAAGAACTGATTTTTTCAAAAATTAAAAAAAAACACAAAAAATTGATTTTTCCCGAAAAAAATCAATTTTTTTCAAAAATACAAAAAATCAATTCCCCCCCTCAAAAATACAAAAACTGGAACAATAAACACCAAACTCCATAAAAAGGATTTGTAATAGCTTTTTATTTCCTGTTTTTTATGAGCATCTCTTCTTCCTCCTTCGCCCAAAAATATCTTCGCCTCCAAACTTTCATTACTAGTTTCTTGAATCACTTTGATGAAGTCTCGTGGTCCTGTTAAATCCAGTTTATAAGAAAGTGATATTTTACTCAATTCGATACTCGGGCGTAATTCTAAAACCCCTGGGAGTGATCGAAGAGAATCTTTGATAAGCTTAACCATTGAATGATCATCGAGATCACCTTTCACTTGAAGATCTATTTTGCTTAAATCTTCACTTGAACTGATAAGAATGGCTTCAAATCCAGCACCATCAACTACTTCCAAGATTTGGCTATGGGTAATTATGTTTGGGTTGTAATGAACGTTGGCTTCTTCAGTTGCTAAAACTACTCGAGCTTTAACTACTCCGGCGAGGGCGATCAGTGTTGATTCAACCGTAGTAGAGCATGACGTGCATGTCATTCCTTTGATTTGTATACGACATATTTGAATTGAAATATCATTCGTCACGTCCGCTACTAATGATGCTTCAAATCCAACATCTTCAATTGACTCACAAATAACCTTCTTTTATAGAAATAAAAGTGATATGAAAACCACATCAAACTAATTAGTTTTAAGTAGAGCGGTCAATGAACCAAATCAACTTGAACATAGTTTGCATCTTGATTCAATAATTAACTTGTTTCACTTCATGAACCAAATGATCCAAACTTAAATTAAAAATTGTGTTTTGTTTGAGAATCAAGACTAAAAATAGTTTATATACAACATTCAAACTCCAACTCAACCCAATGAGGCGCATATTCTAAAGGATAAAGTCGTGAGGATTCTCACATCCAAAGTCGACAAATCCTTGTAGCCGCAGTGGTGCCGACATTAGGTCAATCAAAACATTGGTACCATATGTGGGAACTTGAAGTTCGCACCACACCCCTTATCCTCGATTATGAGGCAACCCTTCTGAGCTTACAAAATAGTTTCACATTAAATGAAAATCGAGACTAAGGGCGGTTTATATACATACACCTCAACTAATCGAGATGTATTTTCTTAAGAACAAAGTCATAAGTATTCTCCCCTTCAAAGCGGACATTACCTTATAGCCCACATTTGTGTAAACTTAAAGGTTGAGTGGAATAAGCTATTTAACTAAAGGAATTGAAACTGTGTTTGGCTTATTGAGCTTATATTGTAATTGAATCTTTTGTCTTTAAAAGAAATAAAATAAAAGATCAAAAATCTAAAAATTGTGATATTTGGATCAATTCTTATTGAGTCGAATGGAACAGACAAATTCGCCTCGAGTATACTTATTACTAGACATAAATGTAACTAATTATTATAACTTACTTCCATTTCAAATACATTTGCAAAAAAAATAATAATTAAATCTAATTTAATAACAGAATGAAGAAAGTTAGTTACGTTAAAAAACGAGGGATGAAAGATGACGCGAGCACGGTTGTTGAGGACATCAACAACAACTTCCTGAATTCCATGGAGACGTTTGATGGATTTCTCAACGGATCCGGCACAAGCGGAGCAAGTCATACCGTGAACGGAGAAAAGTCCGGTGACATTGAAAGCCTCGGTGACGACGGTAGCGCTGGTACCAGGTTCGCCTTTGGGATAGGAAG